CAATGATGGTGGGCTGAGGGCGAGCAGAGGGGCTGCCAGATGACAGCGGTGGAGGAGGCTGGAGCGGGTGGGACAGCGGGCATTTTAGAGGAGCGGGCACTGGAGAGAGCTCTTGGACTGAAGCCCTTCCTGGGTGGAACTGGGGATCAGGAGCCCTTCCTGGGCTTAAGATTCAGGAAGGTGAGACACACACTCGGGGTAACATTCACAATAACCGACCCACTGGAACACAATGGACAGGAACTGATATAGGATGGATAATTAGTGGCAGACAGGTGAGCACAATGAGGGTAATTAACTAATGATAGTACGGGCTAAACCAACAAAAGGGGAAGAAACCACAATAAACAGTCCACAGGGGCGTTACAACAATAAAACATGGCGCAACGAAACACCACTAAAGAGCAAAGTACAAAGAAACTAAACAATTCAGCGCAATGAATCCAAACTAAATCAAACTAACTAAACTAAAACAACACAGCACAATTACACTAAACTAAATAACAATACGATGAAATTAAACAATGCACATAATTAAACTAAACAAAACTAAACACAGCACAATGAAACTGAACTAAACAACAAAACAACACAATGAAACTATAGAAAACTAATCCAAAATAACTAAACTAAACTAAACAACAAAGTACAAGTAAACTAAATTACACAGGAAAATGACATTAAACAAAACTAAAACCAAACTAACTGAACTAAACAATACACCACAATGAATCTAAACTAAAAAAAAACACCACAACGAAACTTTACAAATAAACAAAACAACAATGAAACTAGACAAAACTAATCCAAACTAAACTAAACAACAAAACAGCACAATGAAACTAAGATTAAACTAAATATGGCAGACTAAAAGTAAAATAAAACTAAAACCAAAACATGGCACAATGAAACTAAACAGTACATCACTGCAATTAGAAAAACAACAAACTACAGTAAAACAAAATACAAACACTATAAATCAAAACATCTGGATTTTAGTTTGTTTGAACTGTGCTTAACAAAAAAAAAACAAGCGTTGTTTTCACAGACAGCATCAACTACAGAGGAAGTGTTTGTTAAACTAAATAAGACATTAAATGCAGAATCACGTACTGCAGTTCTCCTCGTCTGAATTGTCGTTGCAGTCGCTCTGCCCGTCACACCTCCAGTGGTCCGGTATGCAGTTGTTGTCCTTGCAGCGAAATTCATGCGGCCCACATGTCTTTTCATCTGCATACACAAACAAACAAAGCATTCATCTAAATTTCCTCATTAATATTTGTGTAAAACAAATAGCGATCCTGAGCTCTTAGATAAACTAAACTATAACAAGTTTAACTTTAAAAACTGTAATTTTTACACAATATTCAGACTTTAAAACACTCATTAAATTATTTAATAAAAAAAAACAAGGATTTGGTACAAAGCATACCTTTTGTAGTTTGTTTTGCAGGTTGGTACATGAATATTTTACCAATAAAAGTTAAATTTTTCCAGCAACCGCACCTGCCAGGATTGTTTTTTTTGGTTATTTTTTTACCTTAAATTTAAAACATTTTTTTCTTCACAGAATCCCACAAGGCTGAATCAAAGGCACAATGGTGTAAATCATATTTTCCTTGCTCTTAAATAATCAACTAATCCGAGCTGATTTGAGTACAGGATATCTGAAATGCAATTTCCCCTCATCTGAATGTCGGCGACGACTAATCCAACTATCATGAGAGATGATGAGAACATAATGCATGATTAATTGACAATCACAATGCTGTGTTTGAGTGCTAATTCCCCGACTTAAAATGACATTAAGAGAATTCTAATTTAGAAAGAACAAGGCTGGAATATTAAGATTTTTCCCTCAAATAGCCTCAGGGCTCAAATCACCTTCAAGTTGGAAGAAGAAAGGTTTTTGCTCATTAAAACTAAATAGAGAATATGAGTATGCTTTTACACTAAATTTTACATGTATAAAAGAAGTAAACTTAACTGAATAGTCAGAATATTGAAAAAAAATAACCAAATATTTACTTAATTTCACTACACACACTAATACAGTGCTGAAGAAGGCACATCAACGCCTTTTCTTCCTGAGAAGGCTGAGGAAGTTTGGCATGAGCCCCAGCATCCTCAGAACATTCTACACCTGCACTGTGGAGAGCATCCTGACTGGCTGCATCACTGCCTGGTTTGGAAACAGCACTGCGGGCAACCGCAAAGCGCTGCAAAGGGTCGTGCGAACTGCCCGCCACATTGTTGGAGGTGAGCTTCCCTCCCTCCAGGACATCTACACCAGGCGGTGTATAAGGAAAGCCCGGAGGATCATCAGTGACTCCAGCCACCCATCCCACAGACTGCTCTCTCTGCTGCCCTCAGGAAGACGTCTCCGCAGCATCCGATCCCGCACTAGCCGACTGAGGGATAGTTTCTTCCCTCAGGCTATCAGACTAATGAACAATCAGAACTAATACACCCTACAGCCTACTCCCACAATACGGTAGGCCACACACTGCACTTTAACTCCAACAGTTCAATACTGGACTATACATACACACTGCATTTAAACACAATAATCTATCTGCTACCACTGGATACCATCCAATGCACATCCATGACATTTTGCGTATCCAGTTAATGTATAATCTGTTGCACCTTCGCATATTTTGTGTATATATGTCTACATAATGTAGAATGTGTACATACTGTGTATAAATGTGTATTGCTAACTGCATGTACATACTGTGTATAATGTGTAGTGCTAACTGTAAGTATGTCTAATAGTACACTGTGTGTACTGACTATATGTATGTGCATATTGCACATTGTCATCTGTTGAGGTCTGTATGTTTAGATGTAAATTGTTTCTGCACTGTCTGGAGCACGCTCCCAAGAATTTCACTCACCAAGGCACGTGTGCTGTGGTGATGTGACAATAAAAGTGACTTTGACTTTGACTTTAGTTCAAAGATTTATTAACACACACAAACAAACGCAGCAGGTATATTGAATGAATTCATTGTTTCAATGCATTAGTGTTAGTCTGTATGCTTTCAGTGAGCTACAGGCAGCGTTCTCGGCTAATTAGCTTTTGCCGACATGCTGCCAACATGAGGCAGATCATGGTAAATAACTCAAAATAAATAAATAGGATCATGCTGCGTTGTGAGAGGCCACATCCAACAAATAAGGAGCAGTGCTCAATGCGTCAGAGCGTGGCAGCATGCTGAATGTTTCATGAGAGCTCAATCCAATAATCCATTCTTCTGAAACAACGTTAATGTGGATCTTTAGTCGTGACGCGGCAAAACACATGGAAGCAGCACTTGACCATTCAAAGCCAGAACAACTGATGAGAGTATTTGGTATTGTGCTGAGAACACAATGAAGAAGGAAATAAAATAACACTGCTCATAACAAAGTACCTCATTATTAACAAAAAAAAAAAAAAAAAAAAAAAAAAAAAAAAACTCTCTCTCTTTATTTATTCCTTCTCTTTCTAGCTTGTA